GCCCGCACACAAATATTTTTTTTTTCACTGAAGGAGAAAATTATCCACCAGCATTAGTAAAAAATAATCTTGCTTCTTAACATATTGCTGAATGATTGAGCCAGAACTACAATTCTCTCTATTCTAACTCTTTATTGCCTTCAAATTGTGTACACTTTTCTGCAAGTGAGCAGCAGATTGTCTGCTCTGCAAAAAGACAGCCTCAGGTGGTATCACTTTCTACAAGTTCTTTATTTCTTATTAACTATATAAAAGTTCTTGGTCTTTTAACCATATGTGCAACACTATAGGAGTAACTGATCAACAGTTTTCTCAGTGAGTAAAATTCCTGCATTAGGGTGGAGAGATTGTTTCTTTAGTTTGAATATAGCAATGCCAGTATTTGTTACATTCTCTTTTCTGATTCTGTAAATTTACAGATAAGGGATGCAGTAAAAGCCAGAGCTGCCACTGCCATGAAGCCAATGAAACTTGTGTGATTTAACCATTTAAAAAAAATACTTGGGTTGTTTTCAATCTCATCTGTGCTGGAAAAAGTACCACAGATCGCCCCTGTCCTCCCCTACCACTGCCCCAGACCTAACAGTCTGGTGATGAATGTTGCCAAAATAGCTAAAAATATTCAGGTCCAAAGTTATGAAAGGAATCGAAGAGGAGAGTGAATCTGAGGCATGGAAGAGCCTCTTCAAGTTATCTTACAGAGATGATGATCCATCCCCACTGGATAAACCCTGGGATCATAGATCTTTTCTGATGGTTCCCAGAGAGATGATGTACCTAGAACACAAGAAACCATTTACAACATTTTTTTAAGAAAGAAAAAAATCTGAAGGAATTTAAATTAAATTTTAAAAAAAATCAAAGCACAGCTAGGATGGACAGAAAAGGAGAAAAGGAGAGCAACGTTTCTGGTCTGGCCAACTGATGCTCTGTGCACAACCTTAGGGGAGAGGGGACACTAATGGATTAAAGTCACCTTTACACTTCCCCAATCCTAATCATAGAATCATAGAATCATAGAATATCAGGGTTGGAAGGGACCCCAGAAGGTCATCTAGTCCAACCCCCTGCTCAAAGCAGGACCAATTCCCAGTTAAATCATCCCAGCCAGGGCTTTGTCAAGCCTGACCTTAAAAACCTCTAAGGGAGGAGATTCTACCACCTCCCTAGGTAACACATTCCAGTGTTTCACCACCCTCTTAGTGAAAAAGTTTTTCCTAATATCCAATCTAAACCTCCCGCACTGCAACTTGAGACCATTACTCCTCGTTCTGTCATCTGCTACAATTGAGAACAGTCTAGAGCCATCCTCTTTGGAACCCCCTTTCAGGTAGTTGAAAGCAGCTATCAGATCCCCCCTCATTCTTCTCTTCTGCAGGCTAAACAATCCCAGCTCCCTCAGCCTCTCCTCATAACTCATGTGTTCCAGTCCCCTAATCATTTTTGTTGCCCTTCGCTGGACTCTCTCCAATTTATCCACATCCTTCTTGAAGTGTGGGGCCCAAAACTGGACACAGTACTCCAGATGAGGCCTCACCAATGTCGAATAGAGGGGAACGATCACGTCCCTCGATCTGCTCGCTATGCCCCTACTTATACATCCCAAAATGCCATTGGCCTTCTTGGCAACAAGGGCACACTGCTGACTCATATCCAGCTTCTCGTCCACTGTCACCCCTAGGTCCTTTTCCGCAGAACTGCTGCCTAGCCATTCGGTCCCTAGTCTGTAGCTGTGCATTGGGTTCTTCCGTCCTAAGTGCAGGACCCTGCACTTATCCTTATTGAACCTCATCAGATTTCTTTTGGCCCAATCCTCCAATTTGTCTAGGTCCTTCTGTATCCTATCCCTCCCCTCCAGCGTATCTACCACTCCTCCCAGTTTAGTATCATCCGCAAATTTGCTGAGAGTGCAATCCACACCATCCTCCAGATCATTTATGAAGATATTGAACAAAACCGGCCCCAGGACCGACCCTTGGGGCACTCCACTTGATACCGGCTGCCAACTAGATATGGAGCCTTTGATCACTACCCGTTGAGCCCGACAATCTAGCCAGCTTTCTACCCACCTTGTAGTGCATTCATCCAGCCCATACTTCCTTAACTTGCTGACAAGAATACTGTGGGAGACCGTGTCAAAAGCTTTGCTAAAGTCAAGAAACAATACATCCACTGCTTTCCCTTCATCCACAGAACCAGTAATCTCATCATAAAAGGCGATTAGATTAGTCAGGCATGACCTTCCCTTGGTGAATCCATGCTGGCTGTTCCTGATCACTTTCCTCTCATGCAAGTGCTTCAGGATTGATTCTTTGAGGACCTGCTCCATGATTTAATAGCACTCATACTTGAACTTCTGCATAAACCAGAGCAACCTCAAGACTGCTCTAACTTACACTGACAGTAAAGTCACCCTAGGAGCCATTCCACTAGTGAGAGCCTTGCTGAATCACAAAGTACCATGCTCCTTATGCTTGTTGGGGAGATTTTGCCAGAATCTGGGACTGGATGACAAGGGATCTATCACTCGATATTTGCCCTACTCTGTTCATTCCATTTGAAGCATCTGGCACCAGCCACTTTGAGAAGACAGGATACTGGGCTAGATGGACTGTTGTTCTGACCAAGCACAGCCATTTTTATATTCTTTGTCCTCAGACAGTGTTGGGCCCAGTTTCTGAGAAAATAGGGGTAATTCCTGCTGGCACAGCTGGAAGAGATAAATAAGGAGAAAAGATCATGGTGAATGTTTTGCGAAGCTCTGTAAGAATATTGCACTTGTGAATGACCTGGGAAAGAGCTGAAGTAGAAATGTCAGCAGCCAGCAGTGGAAAAACCATAAGCAGGTTGAAGAATGAGGTGCTTAAGAATCCAATGGTTGTTTGGAATTTCTTTAAAAAACTAGAATGTTCTGGAGAAAGTCAAGGAAAATCTTCCCTCCAAATAGCAGAAAGGTAGTAGTGGGGATTTGACCAAATCCAGAAATAGATTATTGGCCTCATCATGTCTGAAGATCAGAGAAGTGTGAGATACAAAAATATCTAACTGACCATCCCAAAGGACTTAATTATTTTTCCTATATTTTGGTCAACAGGGAGACTTTCCTGGGCAGTGAGTTGCTCCATATGCCCTAACCACACCTCTGTTCCTTGGTGAGAAGCCAAGGGATATCAGAGTTTAACTGGACTATGAACAGGTGATGGTGCCATTTTATGAGCCCAAATAATCACTTTTGCTGCCTTTTTCACAGAGAAATTCTTCCTCTGCTTTCATGTCTGGTTTCTAGGAGGAAGTCTGAAAACTTTGTCACTGCCAGAGTATTTTTTGTAAATAAAATTTTCTCTAAAGATCATTTTCCCTTCTCCTGTTGCTTTGTCATCCCTTTCCTGGGCATCCTTCTCACTGTGGTTTGAGAAAAACATCACTGTGATTTGATGTTATTACTAATTGTGTTCTCTCTTCAGTTTAGATTGCAAGCTCCTCGGGGCAGGTACCTTGTCATTTTACTGAGTCTGCAAGGTGACATGGCCACCTTTTGTGTGATATAAATAATAGATTATAATAAAAGCATCTTGATGCCATAATTGTCAGCCAGCTGTATTCATGCAGCATCAGGGATAGAACTCATGACGTAAATGGAGGCTTCTAGCGAAGATCTTCAGGGACATAGGACTGTGGCTTCCTATGTGTTTTTTCAGCACCTCACAAAATGGGGCTCATACTCTATTTGAGGCCTTTGAATGCTACTGCAGTACAAATAAATAATTATAATTAATGAGTTTCCAAAGCAGTTTCATTTCTTCACCTCTTTAAGGAACCAGTCTACATATGCTTCAAATATTCCACCAAACCCAAGGCAGTACTAGTACTGGTAATATGTTGGTCTATTATATCCTTTCCCTCTTCTTTGTTAAGGCAGTGTTTTATCTTCTTGGAGAAAAACATTGCCTTAACTAAAAGTATGCAAGGTTCACAGGAATTCAATCCAACAGTTGAATGCTGGTTTGAAACCTCACTTAGATTATACCAAGCGGATTGATGAGAATATGCCAAGTTTCTCTCTTTCTCTTCTGATTTTATAATCAAACCTTAACCTTCCTGGATTACACATGCCACTGAAATTAGATTAGAGCTGGTCTCACTAATGTTTGTGGGTTAGCTTTTAATGTATACTATAGACATATATAAACAGTATACATTTATTCTTCAAAAAATAAAAATTCACTTATATACACAGTGTGTTTGGGCAGCTACAAAATATATGTTCTTTCTCTTTTTAAGAGAAATACATATTGGCAAAGTGTATTGTAATGTTCTAAAAGCAAGAAGAAAACATGATAGCTAAAACCAAATAATATAATCCTTCTGAATGTGGTAACAATTTTTAATACTCTACTATAGAATGAGGAATTCAGGCTCAGTGTTTAATAGTGTGTTGTAGAAAGGACAATGAATGCAGACACATCCACAAAAGATCTCTATTGGCTTAGTCCTGACCATCTCACCTTACTTTACTACCACTTGACAGCCATACTAACCCCACAAACAGGGAAGTATCTTAGCCTTTTCAGATTTAAGATACTGTTAAAGCTTATGAATCAGATTTCCCATATGTGGACATGACAACTATGAAAAAACTATAATTTAGGACACACAGTATTCTCTTTATCCTTTTATGTGGAATTTCACTTTAATGTGATGCAAATGACAGTAAGAAATACATTCACAGAATGTTAAAGCCTTCTTATTAAAAATTCTGTATGCATTTTATATTCTAATTCATGTACAGTCAAAAACCCTGATAAAATCACAGTCCTGATTTGACTGCTGCACTTATCGTATTAATGAGGATACTTTATGCCTTTTGAAAATTGGGATATAGTCCATTATGTGATTGTAAATGATGTGATTGTATCACATCAATTTGTTATACAATCCCACCCCTCCCTTCAGTCAACTTTGTATATAAGACGAGCCACTGGTGAAGGCATGCTGAAGATGGAAAAGCTAGACTTGAAATTAGTCTTCTCTTCTTTTGTCTTATTTTTACTTGTTAAAAAGAGATTTTTTTTTCTGAATCCTGAAATTCCCTCTAACTCTAGAGGGAAATTCAAAACGGAATTCAAAAGCACATAAAGGAGCACCAGACAAGGTTCCCTAAAGGTACGTACTTGATTTACCATATAGCCACAACAAACTATATCAGCTCCATTAACTTTCTGGCTGGTCATGTAATGACTAAACCTAGGAAATCCTTCCCACCCCCCAAAACTGTAATATATTAAGGATTGAAAACTACTTTTGGTGTTGTTTGCAAAAAGGGGTTCTTTGATTGTGATGTATTTACAATTTTTAATATTTTCATTTTTCTTAACTACTGACCATCATTTATTCTGCCCTTTAGGAACACCCAGTGGGTGTAATGCATTGGAACAGCAGCAGATGTCCTTGTAGCTTTTTTTCTACTACTCTAGTTTCTGGTTTTGAGTCAGTGGCGATATTCCTAACTTGGTGAAGGTCAGAAATCTGTTTTCCCCACCTGAGGCTACTATGTGGCTTGCCACTAGTAAGAGAAACTCCCTGCCTGGCATGATCAAGTTTTACAAACTTTCTGCAGTTTAAATCCCAAGGCTGGCAAACTTTTGTGGCAATAGGGTTCCTGGCTCAAAGACACACTGAATGCAGCACCATAACTAGTAAATTAAGACTGCATTCTAGAGTTCTTTTTCCCCCTGGCTTCTAACCATTATGCATTTAATTCTCTCTATAATGGGGTCTCCATCATTACCTTGTGAAGCTAGTACCATTCTTACTGAGTGTTAGCGGGTGTTCTTGGGAACGCAACCACCTTCACTCTGTTTCCCAATGGCTGCCTGCAGTTCTTTGTATAGTAATTGTTATCTTCAGTTGTACTTCCCAGAGCATTTTTACGTTTAATCTCTTCATAAAAAATCATTGCTGCTGTCTTAAAATTCACTGAGGTGACATTGCTATATGCAGCAGAATATGCTCCAGTGTAGAGTTTATTAGAGCTTTGAAACACAAATAGTCAAATTCTTAACACACACAGTGCAGTCTCATATTTTTAACTTTTGGTCCTGTTCACCTAGGAACCTGACCTGAAGGCTTTATCAAGATATATGTTTTCCTTGAGTTTGGTTGTCATGGATGAAACTGCTGATGTTTTTTATGGTTCTGTCAATTTCATGCTGTAATATGAACAAATGTATTAGAACACACATGCACACATACACACACAGGAAATTAGCACAATGGAACATAAATATTTTTTTTATTTTAAAATGACCTTTTGTGGTAAAGAGAAGGAGTTTCACTAGAATATATTTAAAGGTCATAGGAACCTTTAATAGTGGTAGATAAATTTTGCCCTATTTAAATTCAAGCCCAATAAGAACTTTATACAATCTTTTGGACAAAGCTTGCAAGGTTCTAATCTCTGCAAATCCACTCTGTACCGTTCACTGCTCTTCTTATTAAATCAGTTCTACAGAGCTGTACTCTTCTCAATACTGTTACACACACTTCATTTTTATTCTTCAGCTTCAGCTTGGCCTTTTCTATATTTTTGCTTCGTCTTACATTCAATTACCCACAGCCTAGTTTGCAGAATAGGATACTATTGGCAGCTGCATTTAAGCAACAGCACATTATGTCATCTTGCTTCATATATTTCACTCCAATCTTTTTTAGGATAAAGCTCATTTGAGAAATCTTTCCTCTGCCTTTGCAGAGAAATTATTTGCCTTCTTTCATTTGGTCTGAAATTTGCCTTCTCAATGCCTTTGTTTAAAAAGAAAACTTATTTACATCTTCTTGGATCCTATTAGTTAGCTAAATTGCATAATTGTTGCAGTTTTAAGAATACCAAGTCATTTTCTCTCTCGAATCATTGTGGCACTATTTTATGGCTTCCATAATAGCATTTAGTGGTCCAAATTCAGAGCTTACTTTCTTTAGAAGGTTTTTGTATTCATTCTAGTGTATACTGTCATATTTGAGAAGACCATATCCCTCCCATACATATGAAACTGGGATAAGCACTCTTTGAAAATAGAAGATATTAGCCCAGTAAAAGATTCCCTCTGAAAATCTCCAGTGTCAGCATGAGTGCCACCTAAAGAAATTCACTGTCAGTCCTCAGGGATGGTACTTGATATTCAGTTCTAGAATAGTTTAGCATTGTTGGTTTCTCTTAATTAATTTCTCTATCCAAGTTTTGATGGTTCCCTCTTTCTCTCTTTTCCTGCACAGTCCTTAGTAAACAAGGGCAAGTAACCTCATTATGACATATAGCAAGAAGTCTTGCAGCCTACTTAATTTTTCTAACATTTACTATGTATCAGCAGATCATAAAATAGTTTTCTTTCTATGAAAGAGAAACATACAACATGTGTTAGTAACTTGCTGCATCTTAGTAACTTGCTGCATCTTTTCTTGCAACATTGATAAGCCTTGATTGATTTTTCCCTATGGTCAAATATCACCTTAACCTAGTTAAGCACAAATCCCATTGAAGACAAAATTTCCTTTTGAGGACTGAGACAAGAATTCTGTTTTTAACATTGATGTAACCTTACTTTTCTTCCTCCTCTGATGACCCAGAATTTTTGGGTACTGGTCACCACCTTTCAATATTGTATCTAGAAAGTGAACCAGTTTTAACGGATCCTCTCTTTAAGAACCTGAAAAGATTCCATATGCCAAGTATGCAGAGGAGGTCTCATATATTAAAACTATCATTTATACATATTTTAAAATCTAGGACTCCAGTTAAATAGAGATTAAAACAAGCATTGTCCAGGATTTAATGCAGTTAGTTTAAAATTAAAAAAAGCAGCCAAGGGAGTGAAGTTTCCAGAATAAAAAAAAAAAAAAGCACAACATTTTAGAAAACTTTATGCTTTGTCAGAAATGGTCTTCTTCACTGACATTGTACCCAAAAATGCTTAGCTGATAATAATTTAAAATATAAAATATAGTGGAGCCCAAAACGTCATGCTATCCCTTCCAAATAATTGTCTTTAATTAATATTATTATTGATCACATAATAGAAGATCCAGTCTGAGTGATATAAGGATTTGAAGATTTCAAGGCAATGCTTTACAACTTAATTATGTTTCCCTAGGAGACTTAACATAATTCAATTTATTTTTCCCTTGTGTTTCATCAATCATTATATGAATAGAAAAGATGTCTGAGCCTCATTTCTATGTGAATTTCTGTAGATTCAAGAATTTTCAACTACTGTATATACAGATTATTGGGAGAAAAAGAGCACACCTTCTATGAAGACACCTGTCTCCTAAGCCTCACCGCTGATGATAGCATTGTCTTCTGTTGTTGCTCAGCCAGTAAATTTGCTGAATACAAACTGTTGAGCTGCACAGCCTTTGTAAACCAAGTTCTGCTGTGTCTAACAGGTAGAAATCAGGCCGACTTACTGTTTTTCCTTCACTCTTTCTGAAAAAGGCTTTTATTGTACATGGAAGATGAATTGTTTTGTGTGTGCTTTTTCTCTTGCAAAAATTTTTTGACTGTTGATTTTGGCCTGTTTTCTATATGATGCTCTGTTACTGCCATAATCCATATCACAGTGTGAAACATAGGTGGTGTCAAATCCTGCAATTTCTTTATCTCCATTGGGAAGTCACCACGCGCATCATGATATTCATCACCTTTTATATGAGGCCTCCAAAGCACCCACTGAAAGCACCCTTTAAAACTTTATTTGATACTCCCCTTCATATCCCAGTTAAGAAAGGTGTGAAACAAGGAGACACAGTTTCACCAAAACTCAACACAGCCTGCCGGAAAATGAATTGGAAGGGTGGAATCAACATCAACGGAAAGCAGTTAAACCATCTCATATTTGCGGATGATATTGTGTTGATGGCTGAAATTACTATCAAACTACAGAAAATGCTGCGAGAACTCAATACAAAAAGCAGCCAAGTCGGACTGAAAATTAACCGCTCCAAAACGAAATGTATGCCATCTGATACCATGCCAAAAGCCCAAAGAACAGTCAAGGGAGAACAGCTAGAAGAAGTTGAGCAATATGTCTATTTGGGCCAAGAAATTAACATGCGCCATGATCAGGAAGGTGAATTCTCATGAAGAAAGAAAGCAGGTTGGTGCGCATTCAATTCTATCTCGCATGTCCTCCAAGGAAAAATCAACAAGGCAACATGCGCCAGCCTCTTCAACTCAAAAGTACTGCCAGCAACATTGTACAGCAGTGAAACATGGGCACTGACAAAGACAGAGGAGCAGCAACTGTCTGTCATGGAGAGGGCGATGGAAAGAAGAATTCTGGAAATTTGAGTCCCCAGTGAAGTGATCAGACAGCAGAGTGGAGTGCAGGACATCGTTGTTGAGAACTGGCATAGTAAAATGCGATGGGCCGGGCATATAGCGAGGCTCAATGACAATCAATGGACTGCAGCTGTCGCTGAGTGGTACCCACGGGAGCTGAAACAACCACTCGGACGACCTCCAAAGAGATGGGAAGATTTTATTGTGAAAAGACATGGCTGCACATGGAGAAGGAAGGCCAGGACACGAGAAGAATGGAAGATGCGTTGTGATCGGCACAATCTATGCGAGGGCTGAAGGACTGATCGATCAAGGTGAAGCTGAAATCTGAAAGATGCTTTACATGTTGTCAGACATATTTTGTGAAAGGTCTCTTCTATGTTAATGAAGCACTTGTACCTCATCCTATATAGTCTCAATAATACTGATGATAATAATAATAATTCTCAAAGCAGAAAAATAGATGTTGTTTGGCTATGAACTAATTGCAAATGGTGATCACAGAATATCAATGTCTGTACATTCTTAGCTATTTAAGAGATGTCTTTCTGTGCTGGAGCTGTTTGAAGGTTGGCAGTCAGGAAAGCTGTTATTGAACCCAGCAGAGGGTGCTCCAGAGTTTGCGACCAACACGCTGTCACGTGGCAGTGTAGAAATTTCATTACCTCCTCTAACAGTCTAACTTTCCTCATCTACTGTACAGTCTGATTAGCAATGGTAGGAGGAATCGGAGATGTTCTATTGCTAGGGGGTTTGATGAAGGAGCTTTTTAAAAAATATCAAATAATTTCAGATCTGAGTCAGTGACTTTTAAAATGAAAGATCT